CTCTTGTGCTGTCTTCCTGGCCTGCTGGCCGCCACAAGTCGTCAAAGAAGACGATGGTGCTGCATCAGCGAATTGTAGTCTGAATCAACGCTCAGTAGATCACGCAGGAAACACTGTCGTCACGCGCCGCACCGCACAAGATCCTTTAGCTCAGACTGTAACACCGGGATCAAACAAGAAACGCGATCCGGCACCTGCTGAGGAAAGCCCAGGGGAAAGCAGATAGTATGAAGCTGTCTTCGGTCAGCAAGCTCAGCAGGAAGGCAACAAGACAGAAAATCAGAGACAATCAGCGTCCAGCGCTCTGCTCTTGTGCTGTCTTCCTGGCCTGCTGGCCGCCACAAGTCGTCAAAGAAGACGATGGTGCTGCATCAGCGAATTGTAGTCTGAATCGGCGCTCAGTAGATCACGCAGAAACGCTTTCGTCACGCGCCGCACCACACAGCAGCTTTTAGCTCAAACTGAAACATCACATCGGGCTCAAACAAGAAACGCGATCCAGCACCTGCCGAGGAAAGCCGAGGTGAAGCTGATAGCATAGGGCTGTCTTCGGTCAACAAGCTCAGCCAGAAGGCAGAAAAACTCATCATCAGAGACAATCAGCGTCAAGTGCCCCGTTCCCGTGCGATCTAAAGACCATATGGTGCTGCATCAGCGAATTGTAGTCTGAATCGGCGCTCACAAATAAATCACGCAGAAAACCCTTTCATCACGTGCCGCACCACATGAAACACTGTAGCTCCAAGTACGCCATCGGGCTGAAACTAGAAAAACGCGATCCAGCACCAGCTGGGGCAAGCCAAGGGGAAAGCTGATAGTATGAAGCTGTTTTCGGTCAGCAAGCTCAGCAGGAAGGCAACAAGACTGATCATCAGAGACAATCAGCGTCCAGTGCTCTGTTCTTGTGTTGTCATCCTGGCCTGCTGGACGCCTAAAGGCCACTGCAACAACAAGATCAAGACTAGATGGTGCTGCATCAGCGAATTGTAGTCTGAATCAGCGCTCACTAAACAATCACGCAGGAAACGCTTTCGTCACGCACAGCACCACATAAAACAAGTCAGCTCCAACCACACCATCAGCCTGAAACCAGAAAAACGCGATCCGGCACCTGCTGAGGCAAGCCAAGGGGAAAGCTGATAGTGTGAAGCTGTCTTCGGTCAGCAAGCTCAGCAGGAAGGCAACAAGACTGTTCATCAGAGACAATCAGCGTCCAGTGCTCTGCTCTTGTGCTGTCTTCCTGGCCTGCTGGCCGCCTCAAGCACTTGCTGACTCGCCAAAGACGGCCATTTAGCGAATTGTAGTCTGCATCAGCGTTCAAAGGATCACGGTGGAAACACTGTCGCCACGCGCTGCGCCACGCAATATCCTTTAGCTCCAGCTACACAATCGGGATCAACCTGGAACAACGAGATCTGGCACCTGCTGAGGCAAGCCAAGGGGAAAGCTGACAACATGATGCTATCTTCGGTCAGAAAGCTCAGCAGGAAGGCAACAAGACAGATCACCACAGACAATCAGCGTCCAGTGCTCTGCTCTTGTGCTGTCCTCCTGACCTGCTGTGTGCTAAATGCCACCGCAAAAATCATCAAGACCATATGGTGCTGCATCAGCGAATTGTAGTCTGAATCAACGCTCAGTAGATCACGCAGGAAACACTGTCGTCACGCGCCGCACCGCACAAGATCCTTTAGCTCAGACTGTAACACCGGGATCAAACAAGAAACGCGATCCGGCACCTGCTGAGGAAAGCCAAGGGGAAAGCTGATAGTATGAAGCTGTTTTCGGTCAGCAAGCTCAGCAGGAAGGCAACAAGACAGATCATCAGAGACAATCAGCGTCCAGCGCTCTGCTCTTGTGCTGTCTTCCTGGCCTGCTGGCCGCCACAAGTCGTCAAAGAAGACGATGGTGCTGCATCAGCGAATTGTAGTCTGAATCGGCGCTCAGTAGATCACGCAGAAACGCTTTCGTCACGCGCCGCACCACACAGCAGCTTTTAGCTCAAACTGAAACATCGGGCTCAAACATGAAACGCGATCCAGCACCTGCCGAGGAAAGACGAGGTAAAGCTGATAGCATAGGGCTGTCTTCGGTCAACAAGCTCAGCCAGAAGGCAGAAAAGCTCATCATCAGAGACAATCAGCGTCAAGTGCTCCGTTCCCGTGCGATCTAAAGGCCAGATGGTGCTGCATCAGCGAATTGTAGTCTGAATCGGCGCTCACAAATAAATCACGGAGAAAACACTTTCATCACGTGCCGCACCACATGAAACACTTTAGCTCCAACTACGCCATCGGGCTGAAACTAGAAAAACGCGATCCGGCACCAACTGGGGCAAGCCAAGGGGAAAGCTGATAGTATGAAGCTGTTTTCGGTCAGCAAGCTCAGCAGGAAGGCAACAAGACTGATCATCAGAGACAATCAGCGTCAAGTGCTCTGTTCTTGTGTTGTCATCCTGGCCTGCTGGACTCCTAAAGGCCGCTTCAACAACAAGATCAAGACTAGATGGTGCTGCATCAGCGAATTGTAGTCTGAATCAACGCTCACTAAACAATCACGCAGGAAACGCTTTCATCACGCGCCGCACCACATAAAACACGTCAGCTCCAACCACACCATCAGCCTGAAACTAGAAAACGCGATCCGGCACCTGCTGAGGCAAGCCAAGGGGAAAGCTGATAGTGTGAAGCCGTCTTCGGTCAGCAAGCTCAGCAGGAAGGCAACAAGACTGTTCATCAGAGACAATCAGCGTCCAGTGCCCTGCTCTTGCGCTCGTGAAAGAAGACCATTTGGCGAATTGCAGTCTGGATCAGCGCTCAGTAGATCACGCAGGAAACACTGTCGTCACGCGCCACACCGCATAAGATCCTTTAGCTCCAGCGATCCCCTCGGGATCTAATTGGAACAACTACATCTGGCACCTGCTGAGGGAAACCAAGGGGAACGCTGATAACATGATGCTGTCTTCGGTCAGCAAGCTCAGCAGAAGGCAACAAGACTGATCACCAGAGATAATTAGCGTCCAGTGCTCTACTTTGGTGCTGTCATCCTGACCTGGTGTGCGCTAAATGCCATTGCAAAATCATCAAGACCATATGGTGCTGCATCAGCAAATTCTAGCTTGAATCATCGCTCAGTAGATCACACAGAAAACAAATTCGTTACGCCCCGCACCACACAAAATCCTTTAGCTCAGACTGTAACACCGGGATCAAACAAGAAACGCGATCCGGCACCTGCTGAGGCCCAGGTAAAGCTGAAAGTAAGAAGCTGTCTTCGGTCAGCAAGCTCAGCAGGAAGGCAACAAGACTGATCATCACAGAGAATCAGCGTCAAGTGCTCTGCTCTTGTGCTGACGTACTGGCCCGCTAACCGCAACAAGCAATTGCTGACTTGTCCAACATACACGTGGTGCTGCATCAGCGAATTGTAGTCTGAAGCAGCGCTCAGCAAATCCGCCGATACGGCGTGTGAGTTTCAAAGGGCCTAAGCTGCAGCCTACAGCCTGAGCTTCAGCGTTGTGGGGGGGGGCCAGGGGAGCTCTGCGGGGGGGGGGGGCCTGCTCCGCCTGTGCTCTGTTTTCTGGGCGGGGCTAGGACATGTCAAAATCAGCAAAATTCCCACCCCGGGGGCCAGAGAGCCCAAGGTGGCCGCCAGATGTTTCCCAGACGGCTCAAGATGCACCCAAGATGCCCCAGATGCCCTCCAAAAAAAGCCCCAAGAGGCCCAACCCAAGGATTTGGGCGCTTCATTCTTTTCGGCCTTCCGACGGCCCCAGAGGCCCTCAAGATCGGCCCAGAGGCCTCCAAGATGGCCCTATGAAAGCCTTGGAGGCTCTTAAGACAGCCCCAAGAAAGTCCCAAGACGGCTCCACGCGCCTCCAAGACGGCCAAGATAGCCTTCAAGACGGCCTTAAAGCGCCGCCAGTGCTCCCAGACGGCACAGCGAGGCGACCAAGACGGCTTCCGACGGCGTCCGACGGGCCAGGAACGCCCTAAGACAGCCAAACAGGTTTCCAAGAAGCCCCCAAGAGGCTCCAAGACCCCCTCAAGAGGCCTCATCTTACGACGGCCCCAAGAGGACCTCCACTACAATCACGCAGGAAACGCTTTCATCGCAAGGCGCACCGCACAACATCCTTTGGTTCCAGCTACACCATCGGGCTCAAATGAAAAAGATAGATCCGACACCTGCTGAGGAAAGCCCAGATAAAGCTGATTACACGACACTGCCTTCAGTCAGCAAGCTCAGCAGGAAGGCAACGAGTCTGATCATCAGAGAGAATCAGCGTCCAGTGCTCTGTCCTCGTGCTGTCATTCTGGCCTGCTGGACGCCACAAGCTGACTCGTCAAAGATAACATGGTACTGAACAAAGCATTGTAGCGCCACGGCGGGCGAAAAGGTGTCCTCGTCAAAGCGCCGCGCAGTGAGCTCCTGCTCCTCATCCTCCTCATCCACGCGAATTGTCATTGGGCAGGTATCGTACTCGAGGTTGTGCGAAAGTGGCTGTGATGGTTCGGCGCGGCGCAGTCTTCGCCTTCAACGCGCTAGTCGTAAGGCCACCAAATGAAAGGCTGTGTGGTGCTCTCGCCACAGCGCCGCGCAACGACTTCTGCAGCTCCGCCCCCGCCCGTGCACGGCCCACGCATTCCTCCCCATCGCCAAGCCGTCGGCAATGGGGCCCAAGCGCGAGCGAGGCTCGCTCGCTGGGCAGGGACGCGCTCCGGTCCCAGTCTGATCAGGCTGTGGCACGAGAGATCCTTGCGTGTGTTCTGGGGGGAGGGTGGGAGTGAGCGGGCCCAGTTGACTCGCTCGACCTGGCGAGCTTGACAGTACCCCGTACTACCCCCCCGTCCCCCACCCCCAATCCCCCCTTCCTCCTCTCCGTTGTCTGCCTCATGCTCCCCTTCTCCATGCTCCTCTGGCTCTCCCTTCATCTCCTGCCCCTCCGCCAGCTCCCTGCCCCTCCTCGTCCACCTCCCCCTCCCCACCCTCGCGGCCTGCTTCCAGCCTGGGGCGCGCTCCAGGGGGCGGCCTCGTACACACCTGCCACTCCCCCGGGCCCCTTCGCGGCGCTGACGATGTGGAGAGACTAGAAGGGGAGGGGGAGGAGGAGGAGGAGGAGGGAGGAGGAAGAAGAGGAGGGAGAGGACCCGAGTAAACCCAAGATCGATCAAACATGCTGCAATACTGAGCATCGTTTATCCGACCCCCATCCTCAGCGGCATGGCATGGGCCCCGCTGGCCGATTTACCCCCCAAGATGGAGATATGGGCCGTTCTCTTCGGGTTTCGAGGGGTGTATCCCCAACTGGGGTGGTGATTCGGTGGGGGTCTCGAAGGGGATGGGGATGGGGATGGGGATCGGTTGAACGACACCGAGCAGTACACCCTCCCGTCCCGAGTCCCTTCCTCAGAGGGTCCCTACACGCCCCTTTCACTGCAGTGAGCGCACCCTGGGAAGAGCAGCACCCTGGGGGGGCCTGCCGCTCCGGCGAGAGCCCTTTTTTTGACAAGGCGCAGCAGTGCACCTTTTTCACACTAGAATTAACAAGTGCACTGTGATTCACCGTGTAGTTCAATGAATGTGCACTGCAATTAATTGTAGCGCACCTTTTTCAACAGTGGTTATGTATTACCGAAGTGTCCAAACGTATCCCCGTTTTGAAAACGAACCGCCCTGCATCCGTGCAAAGCGCGTACGCGCTTACACGACCGGGTCATAGACGTCGAGGAGGTCGCAAGCGAGACCCCACCCCACTAATAGGTACACACTAAACCTTCAGCTGCCACGTATGTTCATTTACATGAAATCCCATACAGAAGCCCTTTCTAAGAAAAACTGAACAGGAACCGACATGCACCCTTGATGGTGTTGCGAATCGTAGGCGGAATGCGCGCGGCATTATGGCGAGAGCCCCACTTTGAAAAACGACCCCCCTCCGTCATTGTAATTGCTGCAAGCGCTTGGAACGAATGTGCAGAGCACCAAGGCAGGAGCCCTGGTTTGACAGGTAACCGCCCTCCACGTTTAAAGCTGCTACGAACTGTTGAGAAGAATGTGATCGGCACTGAAGCGAAAGACCAAATATGAGAAAGAGCGTGTTCTACCGCTGCTGGCGGAAAACCGGGGGGGGTCACTACCGGTTCGAACCCCTCCCCCCCCCCCCCCCTCCGGAAAACCGGGGGGGGTCACTACCGGTTCGAAAACCCCCCCCCCCCCCCCAGCTCATCATGAAAAGGGGGGGGGGGTCACTACCGGTTCGAACCCCCCCCCCCCTCGAAAACCGAGTGGGGGTGCGGACAGTGGTGGGGACGGTGTTGGTGGGGACAGTGGTGAGGGGACAGCGGGACAGTGGTGGGGGGACAGTGGGACAGTGGTGGGGACGGTAGTGGTGGGGACAGTGGTGGGGACAATGGTGGGAACAGGGGGGACAGTGGACAGTGGTGGGAACGGTGGTGGTGGGGACAGTGGTGTGGGGACAGTGGGAATGAGGTGGAAACACTGGGACAGTGGAGGGTACAATGGTGGTGGAGACACTGGTAAAGGCGGTGGCGAGGACGGCGGTGGGACAATGGGACAGAGGTACAGTGGGGACAGTGGTGGGGACAGTGGGGACAGTGGTGGAAACAGTGGGACAGCTCAGTGGGACAGCGGAGGAGTCAGTGGGACAGTGGGGACAATGGGGATAGGCAGTGGTTGGGTCCGTGGAGACAGTGGGGAGAGTGGAACCGTGGTGGGAACAGTTGTGGGAACAGTGGGGACAGTGCGACAGTGGTGGGGGCATTGGTGGGGACAATAGGGACGGTGGTGGAACCAGTGGGGACAGTGGTGGTGAGGACAGTGGTGCTGGGAACAACAGTGGGGGATGTGATGCGAGCGGTGGTAGGGACCGGGAGTCGTTTGCTGGCGGTGCGTGGGGGGGGGGTCGAACCGGTAGTGATCCCCCCCGGTTTTCGAGGGGGGGGGGGGGGGTTCCAACCGGTAGTGACCCCCCCCGGTTTTCCGGATCCGGAGGGGTTCGAACCGGTAGTGACCCCCCCGGCTTTCGAGGGGAGGGGGGGGGGGGGGGGGGTGGGGGGGGGGGGGGGGGAGGGGGGGGGGGGGGTTTTGCCGGGAGGGAGGGGGGGGGGGGAGGGGTTCCGGCAAGGGGGGGGGATTTTCGGAAGGGGGGGGGGGAGACCCCCGGGCTCCGGAGGAAAAGGTAGGCAATTTTCCACAGTAAAGCGGCGGTGGATCACGCTCTCTCAAATATGAGAAGGAACCATTCTCCTTCCTTGAAGCGAATGCAAGCCGTTAAGACGATTGTGCGCGGCGCTAAATACAGTCTCCTTTTGAAAACGACCTCCCTTCCGCTCCATCATTGTGATTTATTGTGCGCGTTGCAGACTTCGAGACGAATGCGCGCAACGCTGAGACGGTAGCCGTATCATGACGGGCGTGTTACATAAGGCGACTGCGCGCGGCGCCAGTGTGATGCCCCCTATCTGGAAAACGACCCACCAATTCCTTCATCATTGAAGCTGGTGCGCAAACTGTTGGAGACGATTGTACGAGGCGCCAAAAGCAGAGCTCCATGTTGAACCCTCGTCCGTGAAAATGCTGAAATGTTTAAGTTTGAGGAGCACGCGTCGAGGACGTCCCGGACGAATCGTTTGGCCCGCCCTTCCAACACATCTCGGGGTGCGACAGGGACGAGCTATACATATCGGCGTGTATATATATATATATATATATTGAGAAAGAGACACGTATACACATACATATATATATATATAGAGAGAGAGAGAGAGAGCGAGAGAGCGAGAGAGAGGAAGACGAGGATGAGGATGAGAAGGGGGCTAAAACAAACATGATAAGGACGACGAGGCGGGGGGGAAGAGAGGGAGGAAGGGGGCGAGGCGGTTTTGTTCTGCCTATTTGGGTCCTCCTCCTCCTCTTCCTCCTCCCCCCCCCTATGGAGAGAGCGCGCGCTGGAAAGCCGCGGGCCCGCGGGCATGCCCCAGAAGGTCCGCCACCCCTGGAAGGGCCAGACTGGCGCTGCTCGCGTGGCGACCCGAGGAGGAGGAGGAGTCCTGCGCCCAAGGTCGGTCTTCCGAAGGCCGGCCGTGTATTGCACACGCCCAGCCAACGAACTACCGCCCGGAAAGAAGCAACAGCTGCGCAGGAAGGGCATAGGGGGTGACCACGTCACCTGCGAAGACTCGCGGCCCAGCGGTTCCGACATGGTGCGTTGGGAGCCAAAGGCATCCCAGTCGGAACAGCTGGCACGGCATACTGAGGAGCACAAGCTCCCCAGCCCCGGGTGGGCACAAGGCCCCTTTGGGACTCACGCGGCACAAGCCACCGTTTCCCGAGGAAATGCCAATCCCTGAGGGTCAGATCACAATGAAATGACCGCACAGGCGCCGCTACCCGCCTTCACCAGCAGGGCCAGGCAGAGACTGGGGCCGCGCTATACCCAACGACGGGAGACCCGTCGATACAAGTTTCGCAACGTCCACCCCAAGCCCCAGAGCCCGCGGTTCCAGAAAAATCAGACGATTGCACCCCGCCCAACCTGCGAAATAACTGCCGTGTGCAGTGTGCCCCGAGGAGGAGGAGGAGGAGGAGGAGGAGGAGGAGGAGGGGGAGGAGGAGGGGAGAGGAGATGGAGGAGGAGGAGAGGAGGAGGAGGAGGAGGAGGAGGAGGGAGGAGAGGAAGGAGGAGAGGAGGAGGAGAGGAGGGAGGAGGACGGGTCGCCTAAGCCCTTCGGAGAAACCCTCCATCCCCTTTCCCTGTCCGTCGTCGGGGAACCTCCTCCCCCCTCCCCCCCTTGCTCGGTCCGTCGTCGGGGACCCCCCCTTGGGTTCCGGCTCCCCCCTCCCCCCCTTTGGCCGCCAGATGCGAACCCCCTCCCCCCTTCCCCATTTTCGCCACGGCGCCCCCTGGCTCCGGAACCCGGCCCCTACCACCCATAACACTACCACCCCGACCAACCGCAACCCGAACCCCAAACCCTAACCCTAGCCCCAAACAGCACTCAGAACTCATAATTCACTACTCACTACCGACTACTCTCCTCACTTCTCACTATTCACTGCTGACTACTCACGACTCGCTACTCACTACCCACTACTCACTACCCATTACCAACTACTCACTACTCACTACTCACTACTCCCAACTCACTACTCCGTACACACTATTCACTACCCACTACGCAATACGCACTACTCACTAAACACTACTCACTACCCAATACTCACTACTCAACAGTCACTTCTCAGTACCCACTAACCACTATCCACTACTCACTAGTGAATACTCACAATTCACTACTCACTACTCACTGCCCACAACTCACTACTCACTATCCGCTGCTCGCTACTCGCTACTCCCTACTCCTTACACAGTACTCACTGCTCGCTACTCACTACTCATTACTCGCTGCTCCCTACTCGCTACTCGCTACCCGATGCGCCATATTCACGACCCACTACGCACGACTTACTACTCAATACTCACTACTTCCTACTCCCAACTCGCTACTCACTAGTCACTAGTCACACGGGGCTACGAGCTGTTCACTAGTCAGTACTCACTACTCACTATTCACGACTCACTGCTCACTACCCTCTACTCGCTACTCCCTACGCACTACACACTACTCACTACCCACGTCTCACTTCTCACTATTCACTAATCACTACTCCCGAATTACTCACTACTCACTACTCACTACCTACTACTCCCTACCCAATACTCGCTACTCCCCGTTCGCTACTCACTCTTCCTTACGCACTATTCACTACTGACTACTCCCTCCTCACTACTCACTACTCACAATGCCCTACTCGCTACTGACGATTCACTACTCACTACTTCCGACTCGCTACTCGCTATTCACTACCCACTCCCCACGACCCACTACTCACTACTCACTACTCTCTACTCACTACCCACTTCTCCCTACTCGCTACTCACTACTCCCTACAAACAATTCACTGCTGACTACTCTCTCCTCATTACTCACTACTCACAACGCCCTACTCGCCACTCACTA